ACACACACACACACACACACACACACACACACCACACACCACACACACACACACACACACACACACACACACACACACACACACACACACACACCACACACCACACACCACACACACACACACACACACACACACACACACACACACACACGGACACGCTGTGAGGCGAGCTGATAGCATCTGGTAATATTAGACGGGTGGCACAAGACAGTTATCTGTATTAAGCCCCACACTTGAGCTGCTCCAGTCAACACATCTCGGCACTCGTAGACCTGCGGTTTACCAGCCCGTTATCACATGTTGCCAAGCATCATATTAGAAGTGGACTGGTTAATCAGAAGCGTTCAGACCTAGGTAACCCTCGGGTGTCCCTCAAGTTACAGCCCCGCTCCTGTGCCAGGTAGGTCCACTACGGGCTCACCATAGCTCGTGCTACTTAGAACTTTTTGTTCCCAGTAGCTGAATCTTAAACAACAACAACAACCCACGGGTGTCTGTGAGGACCTTTTCCCATACCTCTTTACCCAGACAGGTAAATCCAGTCCCACAAGTTCGATGGTGGCAATGTGTGTTTGTTGACTCACGTGAGGGATGATGTGAGAAGAGTTGGTGGAGCACAACGACGATTGTGCCATGAGGTAGATAAGCAATGGATAAAAAATAGAAGACTCGCAATAACATCACAAATCACGCGCAGGCGATGAGTCACAATAACGTGGCTGAAGTATGTTGACCAGACCACACACTAGAAATTGAAGGGACGACAAATGAAGGGTCGTCCCTTCAATTTCTAGTGTGTGGTCTGGTCAACATCACAAATCACTTTACAAGAATCCAAATTAATAGTATTAGGAAGGGAAAAACGAGCTATAGAATCCAGCTCAACACGACTTTAAAGCAGGAACATTGTGTTTCGCAACTCCTTGATCCCTGCTACAATATATTGAGGAGGCATTAAAAGTATACCAAGATCCAGTATGACAATAAATCAAAGAAAAAACTAGTCTGAGCACGGCACTGTACCTTGTTACAGCACGACACTGTCCCGACTACTCCGCCAGGGACAAAGTATAATACAAGACGCAGATAATTCTCATAGAATGGAGAGAACAATAGTTCTTGGAAATGATAACGGCAAGCGACCAAAGAGTAAATTAATCGTAACATCAGCCAAGAAAAAAGTGGATGATGAGAAATGTCAAAACTCAAGATACCAAAACAGACAGTTCTCTTCAAAGCAGTGAAGCTCTCGCCTGAAATAGCTCATATTCTGAGCTCATTCCAAGACTCAAAATACCTGAAGCAGAATATATATACAAGATATTCTTTAATGTTTACACAGGGCAAACAGAGTTCACATTAAAAAAATGAACACCAGACACCGCCTCAAACCTTTCCAACCATACTCTCTAGCAAGGACACCTGAGATACCTCATAGTATACATAGAAAATACTTGATTCATCATGTTCCTCATCTGACTCACGGACTAGACAATCCCCAGGGAAGCCAAGCCTCGGGCGGACCGTGGGAGGAGGCGAACTTAGAACCAGCCACAGCTAACTACTGGCAAGCCAAATGTTGTTGTTGTTTTAGATTCAACTACTGGGAACACAAAGTTGAAAGTAGCACGGGCTATGGTGAGCCCGTAGTGGACTTTCCTGGCACAGGAGCGGGGCTGTAAATGTGTCGCCTCAGGTAAACAGACACTATGAGGGGAGTGTCGAGGGGAAGAGCTGAGAGGGGACGGAGTGTTACGAGGGTTGGTAAGTAATAATCCCCTTGTTTGACTTGACACTGTCTCGAGTAGTTAAGCCAGTTCCAGCTGCGTCTGGGTACAAGTTTGTATTATTATTATTATTTTCTACCACAGGCGTGGCCACACATTTACAATGCTAAGCGGCAAATATATATATTTTCTACTGTACTCCATGGGCAGGGTTAGAGATTTGTTAAACATATAGTTCAGGGATTTATTGAACAATATATATATATATATATATATATATATATATATATATATATATATATATATATATATATATATATATATATATCTTACTTTGATAGGTTCTGGGTACAAGTGCCAGGATGAATAAACCTTACTGTTTCCCTTAATGTACACAGAATAGAGATGTAAATCTCTGGCCCATTCAGAATTTCAAGGCATAAATAATTTCACCGTCAACCAAACAAAAATTACGGAGATTAGTAAAGGAGTTATATAGTTGTCTGATTTCCTGCTACGAGAAATCTTATCAACTATAGTCTAGATTAGATTCTCCGGCTACTAAGACGCATTCTCCGCACGTCCAAGGCGCTAAGAAGCAAATATGATCTATTTGCAGCGTCTTCAAAGTCCAAGAAACATTTTAGGACTATTCCTGCGACAGTCCACTATTCTTTAATACTTAAAAGATGTCTCGCCTGAGCAGACCTACTCGGGAGCCGGGGACGGGAGCTGGAGCCACACAGCGCCAGCTGGATCTACTAAACACCGACGTTATGGATACTGTTTATAGATAATAATTTTTCTATAAAATATTATACTAAAAGTTATAACCATAGAGAAACCCGCTGATAAATATACTAATGGTCGGTTATATCACTTTATCAATGGTCGAAAATTTACATTTTACATTTTCGTCGTAAATTTACGACCCCAGGGCGCGAAAGTGAAACTATCCATAATAAATGAACTAACCAGTCAACCAATTAACCTATCACCGTAAGGTATCATGTTTACGTAAAAATACCATTTACCACAGAAGAGACACATAACAAAGCAATACGAGGACTATCTTGGTCATTCACATTACAACACCTTCGTTGGTAACCCTGAGCCCTTCTTCACCCTCCCCCCCCCCTTCCCCTTTACCTCCTCCCTTTCCATTCCACTCCTGCCTCTCTCATTCCCCCCCCCCCCCTCCCGCCTCTCTTCCACCACCTCCACTCTGCCTTTCCACCCCACTGCCTTCCCTCCTCTGCCTCCTTGCCTCCCCACGTTTCCTCGACGCTTGCCCGGGGCTGAAGGTCGCCGCAGTTCTCCAGAACATCGATAAATTGTCCATTTACCGCCACTCTTGAGGCTTCGGCGGACTGCTTCATCCATCGCGTCCTTTCACTCCCCGACCATCCTTATCCCTGCCCTCCATCATCTTCCTATCAAGTGTTCTATTTTATATATTTTTTCCGCTATCAACTTAAAAAAACAATTTTGCAATTTCCGTTCTATTCCAATAACCAGCTCTTCCTGGTATTTCCATCCTGTCACAAATCTCTCTCTCTCTCTCTCTCTCTCTCTCTCTCTCTCTCTCTCTCTCTCTCTCTCTCTCTCTCTCTCTCTCTCTCTCTCTCTCTCTCTCCCTTTCTCCCTTTCCACATTATACAACTCGGGGAAAACATCCACTTTCCGCCATCACGGGAAGACCTCAGCGCTCCACCTATAGACAAGCTTCGCGCCAGTATAAGGCGAGAGCTGAGAGTTCTGCCAAGTGTAGGGAAAATTAGCGTCACTAGCCCGTGGAGATGTGGGCCCCAGTGAGAGCTGTGGACCCCAGTGAGAGCTGTGGGCCCCAGTGAGAGCTGTGGACCCCAGTGAGAGCTGTGGACCCCAGTGAGGGCTGTGGGCCCCAGTGAGAGCTGTGGACCCCAGTGAGAGCTGTGGGCCCCAGTGAGAGCTGTGGACCCCAGTGAGAGCTGTGGACCCCAGTGAGAACTGTGAGCCCCAGTGAGAGCTATGGGCCCCAGTGAGAGCTGTGGGCCCCCAGTGAGAGCTATGGGCCCCACTGAGAGGTGAACTTGAGACACGAGAAGGGAACGTCTTGCGAAATGTGGTGAGCAAAGTTCACAGCAGATATGATAAGCTTCTCAAGGCACAGATACGTGTTATGGCTTTACACACTATTTATTTCCTGCTATTTTAGCTCATGTCGCTCAAAATATCTGTGGGAATGTTGTAATGCCGAAAACGTTATTTATCCATGAATCAATCAACATATGGCAGTATATAGTATATGGCAACATATCGCAGTATAACGATACAAGGGCAGTGATAGCCCTTCACATTAGCCTAATGTGAAGGGCCCCGGTGGGCCAAGAAGGCCGCCCGTTCTGCTAAGGTGTCCCCCAACGTCAAGAAACTGTGGTACTAAAGTGGCCTTATCCTAACCTACCAGAGGACCCAAAACACAGAAAACGGGACAGTATGTCAATTTCGAGAGCCGTTTTCATTTTCTAGTACGACGTTTTTTGGCCTTAGGTAGACTATACGTCAAAATGCGACGTGTTATTAGGAGGACAGGTCTCGGAGGTAGCGTCTCCAGGTTCCATAGTCATAACATGATAAAGGATTGAAAATTTTGCTAATTCAAATAGCAATAGTATGGTAGACGTAAATTGGACTGCTGATATATAGAGATCTTATGTTGGTCAAAGGTGAGGCGCTCATTTGTTAAGGGGAGTATTTTGATGTATTTGTAAATATATTCACAGAATAATTATGATTTATGTCAATTGGTAAACCACTTACTATAGTGTTCTATATATTTATTGTATGGTATTCCATGTATTATCCTGCTAACAAATAATATAAATTACCTTCAGAATGATGGCCTCACAGTCTGATAATTGCTTCATATACTGCTTGCATATTTATATTAACATATTTAACAAAGTTTGGAATTCATTTGCGGTTTAAAATAGTTTACAGATCTCGCCACTCCCTCTAAAATACTGGCCAGCGAACAAGAACTATAAGCAAAAGCGAAAAACACAGAATATTTCCTAACTAGACACCTCACACAGGCAAGTGCAGAACCTGCGGCTTCACACAAACACAAATGGGAGATGACATGCACAGATAACTCTGGATACAAGCCATAAAGATACTCACACAAAATCTAAAGGCGCAGCAACATGCCCTAAAGTCACAACAACAACAACAACAACATGCCCTAAAGTCACAACAACAACAACAACAACATGCCCTAAAGTCACAACAACAACAACAACAACATGCTCTAAAGTCACAACAACAACAACAACAACATGCCCTAAAGTCACAACAACAACAACAACAACAACAACATGCTCTAAAGTCACAACAACAACAACATGCTCTAAAGTCACAACAACAACAACATGCTCTAAAGTCACAACAACAACAACAACAACAACATGCTCTAAAGTCACAACAACAACAACAACAACATGCCCTAAAGTCACAACAACAACAACAACATGCTCTAAAGTCACAACAACAACAACAACAACATGCCCTAAAGTCACAACAGCAACAACAACAACAACATGCTCTAAAGTCACAACAACAACAACAACAACATGCTCTAAAGTCACAACAACAACAACAACAACAACATGCCCTAAAGTCACAACAACAACAACAACATGCTCTAAAGTCACAACAGCAACAACAACAACATGCTCTAAAGTCACAACAACAACAACAACATGCTCTAAAGTCACAACAACAACAACAACAACAACATGCTCTAAAGTCACAACAACAACAACAACAACAACATGCTCTAAAGTCACAACAACAACAACAACAACAACATGCTCTAAAGTCACAACAACAACAACATGCTCTAAAGTCACAACAACAACAACAACAACATGCTCTAAAGTCACAACAACAACAACAACAACATGCTCTAAAGTCACAACAACAACAACAACAACAACAACAACAACAACATGCTCTAAAGTCACAACAACAACAACATGCTCTAAAGTCACAACAACAACAACAACAACATGCTCTAAAGTCACAACAACAACAACATGCCCTAAAGTCACAACAACAACAACAACAACAACATGCCCTAAAGTCACAACAACAACAACATGCCCTAAAGTCACAACAACAACAACAACATGCTCTAAAGTCACAACAACAACAACAACAACATGCTCTAAAGTCACAACAACAACAACAACAACAACAACAACATGCCCTAAAGTCACAACAACAACAACATGCCCTAAAGTCACAACAACAACAACAACAACAACATGCCCTAAAGTCACAACAACAACAACATGCCCTAAAGTCACAACAACAACAACAACAACAACATGCCCTAAAGTCACAACAACAACAACAACAACATGCCCTAAAGTCACAACAACAACAACAACAACATGCTCTAAAGTCACAACAACAACAACAACAACATGCTCTAAAGTCACAACAACAACAACATGCCCTAAAGTCACAACAACAACAACAACATGCTCTAAAGTCACAACAACAACAACATGCCCTAAAGTCACAACAACAACAACATGCTCTAAAGTCACAACAACAACAACAACATGCCCTAAAGTCACAACAACAACAACAACAACATGCTCTAAAGTCACAACAACAACAACAACAACATGCTCTAAAGTCACAACAACAACAACAACAACATGCTCTAAAGTCACAACAACAACAACAACAACATGCCCTAAAGTCACAACAACAACAACAACAACATGCTCTAAAGTCACAACAACAACAACAACAACATGCTCTAAAGTCACAACAACAACAACAACATGCTCTAAAGTCACAACAACAACAACATGCTCTAAAGTCACAACAACAACAACATGCTCTAAAGTCACAACAACAACAACAACATGCTCTAAAGTCACAACAACAACAACAACAACATGCTCTAAAGTCACAACAACAACAACAACATGCTCTAAAGTCACAACAACAACAACAACATGCTCTAAAGTCACAACAACGAGCCCTGATGGTGAAAATAAATCACAGCATGACACAAAACAGCATTACATTGTCATCAAACAAAAGAACGACGTCCAGATTCAACCAGCAGGGGGGGGGGGTAAACCTCCCCCCTGTAATGACGTCACTGGCTCGTGTCCTGGGGGTGGGGGGGAGGAAGGATAACGTGGGTCTCCCCCCCCTATCCACCGTCCCCGACCCACACACACCCTCCCTATCCCATCCCCTTCACCTCCTGGCCCTCAAGCTACTGAAGAAAATATATATTTCCTTTTCCTTTGAATTCGTCGAAATCTTCAAGAAAACTTTGGGAATTTTCAGGACTCACGGTTTAACTTGTGGAAGGTAATTGTGTAATTTGGAGCCGGTGTGTCGAAGGAAACTGTGTTGTAATTAATAGGTGTAGTTTCGCAGCTTAAGAGACAATAAATAAATTTTGTAATGGGCAATATTTGATTATTCACACAGTGTGTGTGTGTGTGTGTGTGTGTGTGTGTGTGTGTGTGTGTGTGTGTGTGTGTGTGTGTGTGTGTGTGTGTGTGTGTGTGTGTGTGTGTACTCACCTATTTGTACTCATTTAGTTGTGCTTGCGGGGGTTGAGCTCTGGCTCTTTGGTCCCGCCTCTCAACCGTCAATCAACTGGTGTACAGGTTCCTGAGCCTACTGGGCTCTATCATATTTACACTTGAAACTGTGTATGGAGTTAGCCTCCACCACATCACTGTCTAATGCATTTCATTTGTCAACCACTCTGACACTAACAAAGTTCTTTATAATATCTCTGTGACTCATTTGGACACTCAGTTTCCACCTGTGTCCCCTAGTGCGTGTGCCCCTTGTGTTAAATAGCCTGTCTTTATCTATCCTGTCGATTCCCTTGAGAATCTTGAATGTGGTGATCATGTCCCCCCTAACTCTTCGGTGTGTGTGTGTGTATCAGAGTGTGTATTAGAGTAAGCAATATAAAGAACACGGCAAACCTCCAATCTGATGTAAATTGGACCTTTCAATTGGCCACAGATAATAATGTTTAATGAAAAATAAGTTCAAGCTCCTGCGAAATGGAAAAAATGAAAATTTAAAAACGGAATCAAACCACACTATAGAACGCAAAAAGCAATCTAAAGGATCTTGGAGTAATCGTGTCAGGAGACCTTACCTTTCAGAACACCGTAAAGTAGCTGTCACCTTGTGGTTACCTTACGATCATTTCGGGGTTCTACGTCCCCGCGGCCCCGTCCTCGATCAGGGGCCAGATTCACGAAGCAGTTACGCAAGCACTTACGAACCTGTACATCTTTTCTCAATCCTTGGCGGGTTTGTTTACAATTATTAAACAGTTAATGAGCTCCGAAGCACCAGGAGGCTGTTTATAACAATAACAACAGTTGATTGGCAAGTTTTCATGCTTGTAAACTGTTTAATAAATATAACCAAAGGCGTCAAAGATTGAGGAAAGATGTACAGGTTCGTAAATACTTGCGTAACTGCTTCATGAATCTGGCCGCAGGCCTCCTGGTTGATGGACTGGTCAACCAGGCTGTTGGACGCGGCTTCTCGCAGCCCGACGTATGAATCACAGCCTGGTTGATCAGGTATCCTTAGGAGGTGTTTATCCAGTTCTCTCTTGAACGCTGTGAGGGGTCGGCCAGTTATGCCCCTTATGTGTAGCGGAAGCGTGTTGAACAGTCTCGGGCCTCTGATGTTGATAGAGTTCTCTCTCAGAGTACCTGTTGCACCTCTGCTCTTCAACGGGGGGTATTCTGCACATCCTGCCATGCCTTCTGGTCTCATGTGATGTTATTTATGTGTGCAGGTTTGGGACCAGCCCCTGAGGTATTTGCCTGTATTATCACTGTTAGTTCTTATACACGTATTGTGATTATCTCGCAGTAGTAATGATGACATCCGGGACTTGAAGTTGACCCAGATTTTAGGTCTATTATTTTAAAAGTGTGGGAGTCTTACTTCAAGATCATGCTCATCACATAAATTATAAAACTCGAAATCATAATTTTAAGCTCATTTGCCAGGTGCTCTGTCCTCTCTTCATGCCCCAACCATTTGGGCTGGACGGTAGAGCGACGGTCTCGCTTCATGCAGGTCGGCGTTCAATCCTCGACCGTCCAAGTGGTTGGGCACCATTCCTTCCCCCCGTCCCATCCTGATCCCCTTCCAAGTGCTATATAGTCGCAATAGCTTGGCGGTTTTTTCTGATAATTCCATTCCATTCTGTCCTCTCTCTTAAGTTGTTTTATGTCCGGCTTTTTAAAAAGTTTGTGTTACACTCGTATTTCTAAAAAGTACGAGCTCAGATTTTGAGCGCTTTATTGGATATGTAAATATATTGGATATCCGCTCCAAAATGATGAATCAGAAGTTTTAATTTGTCTATTCGAAAGAAAAAAAGAAGGTCAAGCAAGTCATAACCATTTTGATAAAAGTCCTGGTTAAAAAAAAGTAATTTTTCAATAGTTGTTTGAATTGAGATATCGTTGATGTGTTCCAAAATTGTTAGTAATTCTGGAGTATTTTAATAAATAAGTACTCATGCGTGATAATTATATCCTACACTGTTAGGTTATCAAATGTATACTCACTTTATAATAACTAATAATTATTATTTATACAACACGTACCCAACCCAAAAATTACCGCAAGACATGAAGGAAACATTTTGTTAAAAACAGCTGTATGAATGAAGCTGTATGAAGAACAGCTGTAGGAGGCCTGGGCAAGGACCGGGCCGCGGGGACGGTAAGCCCCGAAACCATCACAAGATAACCACTCTTCCGAGCAACGGCCACCTCTGTGGCCCCAAGACTATTAAAATAAAATTCCATTTTTCATTCAGATAAAATTTCCTTCTCGACGTCTTTCAAGGTGAAGGTTCAAAATATTTTGGTGCGGGTTGCTCTCTGCTAGACACAGAGGAGAGGACGCAGGGAGGGGGTGGAAAAGGGGTTGGGGGGAGTCGGGGAGGACGGGGAGAAAAGGAGGGGGTGAGGAGAGAAAAGGGAGGTCAGGAGGGGGAAGGGTGGGGGTGGGGGGCCGAGACCGACAGTGAAAGAGAGCAAACTGACAAGTCTTCATTTCCTCGACATATCTAATTTGTGTTCAGAGTCTTTTTCCCGCCAAAAAGTCCGTAACTAGAAGACCGCGACATTCGCTCGACGCACGACCACGCGCATACAATAGAGGGTAAATTATCATCAAAGCAAATACTTACAATAAACAGTATACATACATTTCTCTCATTTCGTTGTCACCTGCGTATGAACCTCCCGTAGCATATAGAGGACCAACGCTCCTGTAGGCTCGCTTGTTTTGTGGTAGGGGGGGGGGAAACTAATACCCCATTTGTTCAGTCTGATCGCCGAAGTTTCTCTTTTATATACTTTGTGAGGGAATAATTAGCTTTAGGCTACCCGCTCCTGTTATAATTGTTCCATTGGCCTTTTTAAGGTATAGACATCTGCGTTCGCTTTCGGAATCAATGCTTGAATTGTTGATATTTAATTTAGTGAACGGCCCTCATCATCTCAAGATCATCTCAATCATCTCAAGATAGCCCTTCACACTTAATATTTCGTTTTGACCTATTATGTATATTTATATTTGTGTGGACTTTTGTGAGTTTGTGATCTGAGTATGTAGTGTATTTGTGATAGTTAAGTCGTAGTATTTCTGGAGTGCTTGTGATAGTTAAGTCCCGAGTATTATCCCTCCTACTTGAATCGGTTTTTTTAATTAATATACTTAGGTACCTTTACCTGTATGCAGCTGCCCAATATGAAGGGTTACATAGTGTGCCAAGAGCTAGATATGTCATACTGAAAAAAAATCTACATCTGACAGGATGGTTAGTCCACTTGTGATTAGTAAGTAGCGAGTACAACCTAGTCACAAAACGTAAGGTTTTAGACCCGTGGGGTTATTTGTAGTTGGGTTACCTGATACAATGTACTCTGTATGACTAACCATCCTGTGTGATGGGGATTTTATAGCATCACGTAGCTAGCTTTTTTGACACACTGTACTCCACTTCATATAGTCTAGGGTAGCTGCACAAATGCATATGTACCTAAATGTGCATTTATAGCATCACGTAGTTAGCTTTTTGACACACTGTACTCCCCTTCATATAGTCTAGGGTAGCTGCACTAATGCAGATGTACCTAATGTATTAATAAAAAAAAAAGATACAATGTAATTATATGTTATCCGTCTTCTTAAACTGGGCACGTTGAAGTCTCCAAGGAACATAATATCCCGGACGGGAATTTCTAGATAGTTTTCTATTTTGTGTACCTGTTCCACATATTGTGCAGTTGATGCATCTGGTAGTTAGTAAATGTCATTTAAGAACTCTCAGCATACAAGTTCCTCTTCAATATACAAATCTACTCTTTCATTCCACCTAT